AGTCTCCAGGCCAGGACCAGCAGACTGAAGGACAGCTTCATCCATCAGGCTGTCAGGAAGCTGAACTCCCTCCCGACCTTGTCCCCTTGTCCCCCCCTCCCCTCTCCTCTTTTGCCCCACGCACCACTGAACTCTGACAGACTCTCCCACTCCCCCCTCCCTAATACACACACACGGTCACTTTAATCAGTCTAAATAAGCTCTTTGCACTACTAATCATATCTGCACTGTTGTTACTTCACTGGTTTGCACTATCTGCCATGTGCCTTGTGCTGCTTTTATAAAAAAATTTTTTTACATTTTACCTCATTTGTATTTTATATTTAATCCATATATCTGTATTTATGTTCTACTGTTAATGTTATCTGTGTGCACCAAGGGTCTGAGTAACGCAATTTCAATTCTCTGTGTTATTGTGATGCATTTATTTTTTTTCTCCACCCTATCACTCTTTACTGTTACACAACTTTCTGCTCCGTGACTTAAGTTAGCCTGCCATCAAATGTAAGCAGCCGTCATCAATGTTTCAAACACCGTTTCTTCCTGTAAGATACTTTGTGTAGATCAACTTATTATTCTTTTATTACTTATTTATTAGTTCGGCTTTTGGAGTTGGGCAATTGTGTCAGGGCCAGAGTGAGACTCATTTTTAGCCGTAGAGTCTCATGCCTTAGACCGGCTCACTTTAGTTCATGACCGACTATATTAAAATGTAATTAAAACCTCGGTATATAAGTCTGCAATAGTGCACTGTTCTCCGTAAACTGTTTTAAGTAAATAAGGGACACTCAAAATATTTGCTGTGTACCATAATGTCTGCCTGCAGTTAAAAAGTTCCCAGAAATAATCGCAATCTGTTTGGACATTTTGTAAAATGCAATAAAATTAAGAATCTGTGATTTGTTCATGCTCTCTAACTTTTATTTAATTGACAAAAGTACAAAGAAAAAATGTCCATAGTTTATTGACCAATGTAAATGTATTTTGCAAATATGAACACATTTTGATTTTGATGGCTGCAACACACTCCAAAAAAGTTTGGACAGAAGCGTGTTTCACACTTTGGTACATCAACAGTCATTTGAATTACAATGTTTAGTTGTTTAGGAAGTTCTGCAAGCAACATTTTTGTCCAGTCT